GAAACTCCGGGGTTTGTAACCACCACGGGCTCGGGCACCAGTGGATGATGCGGCTGAGCCGATGCACACCAAGCCACGTTATGTATGGAACCCTCACAACCATCGAGCTTCGCCTTGTTCAGAACGATACAGATAAGAGAGGAAGAGATAAAGAGAGATAGAGAGGCTGAGAGAGTGAGAGAACGAAGGAATGGACAGGAGACAAAGAACGACAAACGCGCTCTGAATACGCCCAGCGCAGTGCTCTTTCTTAGGAGTGTCAATCCCCAAACCCGCTAAAATTTTGGAAACAACACCTTCTTGCGGGCTGGTGTGCTCGCCACGCTCGGTCATCGGAGGATCGTTGCGATCACCAGCCAAGTGTTATTTCTCTTGTCGGATGGTGGCGGGACAGGGGGTTCCATGATGATCATATATATATATATACATATGCATGATTTGGGTGGCTGGTGGTGTGTTTCAGAGTTAAGGTGTTGGGTTGGGGAGGGGGGATTAAAGACAGTGCAAGATTAAAGCATATAGAGCTCGAAACAGCAACGCATGGATGTGAATTGAGGCTGCCTACTACGGGTAACAGCTCCCGTCTATGACTACTCTGAAGAAGTCTCCAACAGAACGTCCAACATGTACACCCACCAGTACTTCTCCGAAGTCCTGCTTGCACTTCCTCATGTAAAGCAATGGTTCAATGGCTACTGACGGCTTATATAGAAGCCTACTTTTCGCTGGGGATTTGGGAGCCTCTATACTGCAAATACTCGTAAGTCGAACATCCCATGCAAACTCATCCACTAACTCACGGCCAACAAACCTATGATGTACAAGACCTCTAGAGTCGGCAATTCCTTAAACCGCCTCAAAGTACCAGGTCGAAGCTTGCTGATACAACCCTCCGCGGAAAGACCTATGCCGCAAGCTCTAAAATGGTACACTGCAACAGACCCGCTCACCTTCGGTGAAGGGCATTCGGACAGGGTTGGAGTCACATGCTGGGTTTAGAGGTGGAGGTGTCGCAGTAGGATTTGCTGTTAGGGTGGATCCATACATCTAGTTGGGGTCAGGTTTCTGTATGGGGTCTGGCAACTTCAGTTGTCGTGCTATGTTGTAGCTCCATGTTGGCGACTGCTTTGCAGAACGCCAGACACGGATCAAACGTGGGGAGTTCCCACACATTCAGGGAAGGGGCTATTGCTATGCCCAGAACCGCTGTAATCCATCCTTTACCCAGCTTCTATGTTGTCCCGGACTCGGAAGGGCTTAGAACTTGAAGCTGCCTGTTTGGTGCCACCAGGCTCTAAGTATAAACAAGGTGTAACCGTCGCCTCAGAGTGCCTAGATACCTATACCGATACCATATACAAGTACCCGCTTCTACTCATTAAGGCCCCAACATTACACGGGCTGGATGGAGCAATGCAAGACGCTGAGGTGTCGAGAAGCCCAAACTTTCAACCTCATCTTCGGGGTACCTTTACGTCGTCGGGCTTCCGGGTTGTATTCCGCAAAACCCTGCAGACATCAGATCGAACGCTCAACACTGCACCCAAACCAGTTTAGTCATTGAAGGGCTTGAGCCAATAAGTCACACCTGTAAACTGTAAGATCCCAACACAATGAAAGCCCCGTAAGCTCGCAGAAGTTGAGGTCCAATAGTTTTCGACGTAGTCACTTCTCTTGTCGCTGAGCTCAAACTAAACCGCGTCGCCACGTCACCTTTCAGCCTGGATGGATGCCGAATACCCTAAATACGAGCACTGTTGATCCCCGTGTGATTCCCGGCTAATAATGTGTAGGCGTAGACTCCGTAGACCCTTCTGGAGCCCCGAACAGGTTAACTCAGGGTGAAGGTGCCCGTCCGGCGTGGGTATTGGGTTTGCACAGGTTCAGGCAGAAAACTCTGAAGCCCAGACCCCAGAACACCAAATCCTAGACCTGTATATAGTTCTTTAAAAAAGCCTGAGTGAAGCCATGAACCCCATACCCTGAATGACTCGTGGAACCACCTAGCTAAACACGCGCTTGTAAACGCATACAAAGCCTAGGTCCCTTCCTCCTGAAGCCCTGCACTCAGCCACGGGTGGGCGTCACCTGCATCGCCAAGGAGAAGCAGGCATCAGGGCTTAAAGGGTTTCAGGCGTTTTGGAGGTGTAGGGATGTGAAGGCTCGTGGGGTGCAGATTTTATAGAAGGCATTCAAGCGCCCTAAAACTCTAAAGCCCTAGATCCCTCCAAACATGGCTTAGTTGGAGGAGTGAGGTGGAGAACCTGTACAAAAGGTGGCCTTTAGGACTCGAGTAAGGTTTTCAATGTACGCTATCATGAACCCTAGCCCCAAGAAGGAATGATGCTACCAACAAAAATTGGGGCTTCCAGTCGCCAGCCCCTGGGTTCGGCTTTTCCGGCTCTTGCCTCTTGGCTCTTGGAGAGCGGATCTTCCGGGATTCGCAGAGAGTCACCGGGGATGGGTCTCTTTACTTCCAGGACCTCAGCCCCAAACCCCAATGCCGGAATCTAAGCCCTCCCAGAGCTTTGGAAAACTTCTTCTACGGACCCTGACACATGATGGGTTTCCGAAACTCCGGCTTGGAGAAGATTGGTGAGCAGGCTTGGACAGGAGGATTTACATTGAACAATTATCGATTCAGAAGCCACAGAAAATTCAGTGGCTTCTTGACCAACACTTCCTGTTGCCCTCCTCGTCAGATTCACCATCAACAGGTAGGCAAATATGATGAGAACGGCTGGCGGTGGAAATGCTGCTGCCCAATTCTGGCGGTAGATAGCAATCAAGTACCAGGCCAATCCAAACTATATTCTACTATATAGATGCGGTGATACTCCGATGATACTCCGGCTCACAGAAGCAAATGGAAACCGAAGCTGTCAGCCCCTGGATAGGCTGCAGATTCAGCGACCAACCTGACGCCCAACAGCCGAAACCGATACATCAGAGCTCATCATCCTAGCTGACACAAGCTTCGCCCTCGAGAGTTTACAGCTTTAAGTCCTAGAACCCCCAAATCCCAAACCCTTGAAAGCCTAAACAAGGCCCTAAAACCTTAACGCCCTGAAACCCTGAAGCACTCAAGGCCAAGCCACGAAGCCCCGAACTGCTCTTAACCCTGAGGCCCGTAGTCCCTACAACCCTTCAGCGGCTGTTGGAGTGCGGAGAGGTCGAGGCACCTCTGTGGGAGCCATCATCGACAGCTTGGCTCCACGCCGCTTCAGCCAAGACTGCCTCAGCTGATTAGGTCAGGCCACTTCCGCGTGGCCTTACTTGGTCAAGGCGAGCTGAAAGTTTTCCCGGAACTTGATGATAGCACAAGTAAGGTAGACCGCTGGGCAGGACCCCACATGACCCTAATATACCAGCCTCCAACGCTGCAAATGGCTTTGAGTCCAAGCATTGTGTACAAAGGAGTGAGACTACAAAAAAACTCACCGGCAGGGAAAAGCCAGAAACATACCAGTGGCAGAAGCCGACCAGACTGCTGCCAGCACACAGCGGTTCAGGGGCTCAGGGCTTCCAGTTGAGGCTTTGGAAATTAGAGTTTGGCTGTAGGCTGGTAAAACTTAGGGAGTCTGAAAATCCAAACCATTAAACAGTGCGTAGATCTAGACTTCACCTTCTAGAGGGAACTCTGGTTCTGACAATCCCTTCCACACCTCTGGACAAGGCCGCTGAATCTTCACTCATGCCCTCCTCCCTGGAACCTCTCTGTAGGCTAGGTTCCACTGGCAGCTGTTGTGGGCATTTTTGTGTCTAACCCCAAATCTAATCCTGCCGGAGCCCCAAGCCAAATGCCCCAGAACCCCCGAGTTGACTTTTCCACACTTCTTCGCCATTCTTCGCGTCGCTGGGATCACTTGAGGTCGCCCGGCGTCGCCAAGAGCATCCGCAGGACCTGTCGCTTGCATGTTCTTGTCTGTTCCACAGCTTTGTTGCTTTTGCTTGCATGTATGTCCGGATTTTCGGTTGTGGGTTCTGTTTTCCTGTATAGAAAGAGTGTTTGCATGTTGCGCCGTTTGGTGTTCATTCTCATTTCAGGGCTTGGCTTACGGCATTGGGTTTAGGCGGGTTTGGCTCGACGGCTTCGGGTGCCTGGCATTGCGATGATGGCGACAAACTTGCAGAACACTTGCAGAACTATGGGAAACGTAACATGACAACTTGCTGACGATGATTTTGGTTTGCATCGTCATCCTGATCATCATTATCATCCTCATCATCATCATCATTATCAGCATCAAACATTATCATCTTCATCACCACCACGATGATCTCTTTCAGGAGAAGCCATGGCAAACACATGTGGTGGGTGTCTTCAGCCAAGGTTCCTTTTTGGCCCACCGTTGTTCAGGAGCTGCACATGCTGAACCAAAAACTTAAGAACCAAGTCTGCCTGCAGATCCTAGTCACGTCCCCGTAAAACCCGAAAAAGCACCGTTCTAGAGGTCGAAATGATGTGTAATACCACCCCCTGGTAACCCCTGCATTGCATCATTATACCATAATATTTGTCGCCACCCTATTCCAAGTATTCAGGCCCCAATATGAAACCCCTGGCAGATCCCCAAATCCGGTCCTTCGGCTTGACATAGTCGCTGCAATGCGTTTGGGGATGTTTTCCTGGAGAGCGTGTAGGGGTTTAGGAGGTGGGTTTAGTATAGTTGAGGGGTTTCAGCTCAATGCTTACGATTCACGATTTCGAGCTTCAGTCTGCTATGGTAGGAGGCGGAATGATTGGACTGCCGTTTGGGCCCTTGGGCTCCATGACACTTGCTATGCTCGGCTTACACTGCAAAAAAATATGCAGGAGGTGTTCAGGATTGGGAATTTGATGGTGTAGGCTTGGGGGCTTGTAAATAGAGTGTCGTGTTTGCAGCCGGTACCTGGTGCATACGCCGAAAGGTCCTCGTCGTCCAACCCAAATCGCCTCCAGGCTGCTGCAACGACATAGGCACTGCGATCGAGATGATGAGCAAACAGCAGGGCCTGTGTTATGTGAGTCCATAGAACTTCATCACCAGTTTCGTCAGTTTCGTCCGTCTGCCCGGACAGGCCAGGTTCTCTTCCAAAAATGACCGCGCTGCCTGTAACCTTGGAGGTTCGCTTTCCAAAACAAGGTCCCCACCGAGTCACAAGAGCTTATAAGGCCCCTATATTTTGGAGCAGCCTGCCTCTCAGGGCTGACTCCAGCCAGGCTCTTTTCAACATCCTCGGGACTCGAGATGTTTCCTTGGCACGAAAGAAGGGCAGGGGAAACTAGCTCCGAGTTTATGCTCTGTCGTGACAGTCTCTCTGCAAAGCATGAAACCCTAAAAGCCGTCAACACTGAGCCACTAAGCCCTACACGCCCTATTGCCGCAACCCTAAACCCTAAATCGGAGACCCCAAGCCCCAGAAACTCGAAGCCGAGCGTCTCAGCCGGCCCTGGAACATGGCTCCCATGTAGGCCTCGACTCCCGCTTCTTGCGGGAACCAATGGTTACAGAAGAGGAGGCCACGGGGATTCTTTGGAGACCCTCTAAGGGTCTGAGTATGAGGGTTCTGTAAAGAGCCGTTTTGGGATTATCTCGGAGTTTTCGAACTCAAACCACTGGCCCTTGAACGCTAAGCTCCTACCTCACAGGTTCCTGGCACTCTACTAGAAGGTGTCGGCCTCTGTCATAATGGCGTCAGGCTCAAGGCGAGCCAGCGCCATCTTCTCAAGCACCCCGTCGATCTCCTGCGCATATATTAGGACGGTTGGAAGCAGACTTTTGATTTGAGGCTAAGGGTTTGGGGTTTCTAGGGTTCGAACGGATTGATCCCTACATCAAGCCGAGACGTAAGGTCAAGGTTTAGAGGGCTCAGGGGGCGTCCCGGTGCCCCAAAAAAAAACCCAAGAGCCCTCAGTGCACGAGAAGTCTCTCCTGAGCTGAGGCTGTCTGATGTGCTGCCAGAGTGCTGAGGAAGGTGAAAGTGTCCGGCTGCAGTCTCTCCTGTCATTTCCAATCCTCATTATTCTTATAAAGTTTAGAGGGCGTAGCACGGCCGGCGCAGTTTAGGTTTAGCGGGTTGTAGTGCTTCCGTGGGCAGAGACTTGTGTCGGCGCAGCTTTGTGTGGAGACTTTGCGACTCATACAGGTCCTAATCATTCAAGAGGATTTGGGGTATATGATAGTATAATGTATACTGTAGTTGTAGAGGGGCTAGATATGGGGACATCATTATCAATTAGTCCGCAGTCTTTTTGTTGATGACTCTGGAGTCTGGACCCTGTGGAGTCCTGCATCATGTAGTCAAGAAAATACGCTGCTGCCAGGTGCTTGCCCTTCTGATCCGACATCGCACATGCCCGTATGGCCGAGGAGCAATGAAAGCGGTCCGGCAGCATCCGCTGGGTGCGTACAACGTCCAGCGCAGAAGCAGCCAATGAGATGTTGCCAAGGAGAATGGACGCTTGAAGCGTGGTAGTTTCATCAACATCCTTCACCCAGCCTTTCGTCTCAATTTGCTGCCAAACGGCCTCTGTCTGCAACCTGTCCCGAAGCTTTCTGAAGATCTTCAAGCCGGTCAGCAAGAAGTTCAGGTCCACTTCGGCTGCGCTGTGGTTAGATCGTTTCTTAAAGATGGTGGCCCCATGCGCATACTGCCCGCAGCTGTAGGCTGCCCCCATGGCAGCATCGTAAACTTCCACGGCGGTGCCGTTGTAGCCAGCCCAATAACGCTGCACCTCCGACCATCGGCCTCTTGGTTCCGGGATATCTCGATCGATTACCCTCACCTGCCTAAACTTCAGGGTGTCGGACAGGCTTCCGGTCCTTTTCTGGCCCTCCGATATCGGAAATGAAAAACTGCAGGGTCCGGGTTTCTGTGGCTTACAAAGCCCTTCAAACTGTAGACTACCGGTTCAGGGCTTCCTCAATTTGAGTCTCCGGACCGCCTTGTGAGCCAGCATCTTTCATGATGTTCACGAGGAGACGCTCATAGGGCGAAAGATGCCGATTTTTTGGACTCCTCGGTTGCCTTGATTTCCAGAAAGCTTCGCCGCTTTTAGGCTCCAAAATCGGGGCAAGCACACACAACGTCTGCAAAACGGAAACTCAAATTGCGACACAATGCATCTTCCCTGCGCTACTGGAATGCCCACTCAACGACCAAGTGACCCTTGAAATGTGAGCGGTGCTAGCCTACAGAGATATTGAAACTCCAACGGAAAACATTCGTGCGAGGAGCTGCAGGACTTGTGCGCATCATGGGTTCGTATTAATGCTAGTTCCGCATGAAAGCCATGCACCTATGTCCATGCTTTTCCAATTCTGTCGGTAACATGCGGCAACTACATTGGTTCTGGCTGATACGAGAAGCCGTGAACCGTCTCGTGCTTCAAGGAATCCTCGCGGCCACCCAAACCCAATGCACTTGCACCTCCCTAAAGCAAACAAGAACATAATGCTGAAAAACCTGCAAAGCCGTGGCTCTAAGGCTTGATTCTCCGATATGATTGCTGCGCTCATCGCTACCCGAGCCCGATAGGTAGACACCCCGCCTGAACCGAGCTGTAACCAGCCATTGGTGCTAGGTTGTAACACATCTGGACACCCCAGCAAGTGAAGGCAAGGCGTCATACACCCGAAACCGTGAACTCCACGCCCAACTTAGCCTGAACCCAGCCCCGAAAAGCTGAGCCCCAAATGAGATCCTGACCTTGCACCCTTAGAGGACAAGGCGCACTCCGACAGCCGGCACCGCGGAGAGGCTCCAGGGCCTCCAGAGCCTAAGGCTCAGGGCCAGCGCCACGAGGAGAAAGCGCCAAGCCCTCCGAGGCATCCGAGCTCAAGGACAATGCGCGCGCGTCATCGAAAGGCTTTAGGGCTTCAGGGATTAGGGTGTGAGGGCTAGGGTTTTGCGACTCCGAGAATCTAGTGCTTTCGGCTGCTTGGTTTCATGGTTGGGGTGTAGTTAGGGTTTAGATCAAATCAGAGAAGAAGGTTATCCTTGTTGACATGTGTCGCTGCATTTCCGCTGCAATTTGTCTGGCCAAACTAGCTCTTTCAACTCAGTTCCTACTTTTGGTTTGGGTCTTTGACGTCAGCTTCCACATCCCCTCCCTGATGCTGATTGGGACAAAATGGGGTGCTGGGTGACTTACCTTGCATACGTCCTCATTTGCGCCGCTTTTTGGCTACCTTGCCTTCCACTTGGTTCACCACAACAACTATCAGCTTGCGGCGTTGTATGACCGAGATGTGGCGCTGAAAGCATCGGCACTTATTGCCGTAACAATGATCTGCCCTTGCATGCAAAACTATGCCCTATAGTCTCCTTACAAGTATCCTACAAAATATACACTACAATCTTAACCCTCAATCAAAATTACTCTTAATATCCTATCGGGTGGGTGAGGGTCGTTCTCAAAGGCTTTGCTCGATATCTCGATGTGTCAATACGTCCCGCTGCACACCTTCTTCAACAACCGCTCTGAGCCCTGAATTCTGAAGACCAAACCTCCTGTCAACAGTGCCCCCCAAGACACCATCGGGTCAAACCCCGTCTCTGGAAGAAGTCAGCCCCTGGAAAGTACGTCTTCGAGCCGCTTTAGACTTCCGCTCTTGAAGGTTCAAGTTCAAGGATATGGATAACAGGAAAGTCAAACTTGCTCTACATGTCGATGCTGAATATTAAGAACAGCCTCTAGAACAGACAATGATCAAGCAAAGAAGCTCTTGATTAACGGAAACTGTGCTGCGGGGGGGCTATGATACTCGACGTTGGATGCTTCGGCCCTCTGGCCAGGGTAGTATGGATAATTTTAATGTTCATGGCATTCCTGGCTTGTAACTGCAGGAGTTCTGTACGCGAGCTGCTGACTAGACCCGTGAGGTTGAAAAGCCACCGATACTTCAGCTCGGTGTATGCAGAGATATACGGTTCATGCGCGACAGCGAGTGCTAGCACGTCGCCGAAGGCATTTATGCGTCAAACAAGTTAACTGACTGAAACTGACTCCTCGGGCTTCTACATCATCCAGAAAGTCAAGCGCAAACTGCACTCGATCGGGGCTGGTGCCCTGTATGCGCTCTGCCACGTCCGATACGCTCCAAACATCGCGGAGGCGACCTTGGAATACAGCCCCCAAGAAGGTCTCCACAAACAGGCTATTAGGAATCACCTTTTGCTCATCCAGTATGGATAGCACGCGCTTGGTTTGTGTCAGATTAGCCAGACGGTGAGCTCCGGCGAAGCTAGTAAAGGTCACGATGTTGGGCTGCAAGCCTTCTTCAATCATCCTGTTCAGCAGGACATTGGCTGCCATGTAACTGAGCTTCTCATCGGAGTTTTTGCACGCATTGATGGCAGACGAGAACTGAATGACATCGGACGGCAAGCTTGCATTCTGCAAATAGTCAAGCACTGATGCAGCCGCCCTGATGTCGCCCATTTCAGACGCAGCATCTATCCGTGCAGTCGCAGGAAACTTGTCCATCCACCCTTTTGCAAGAACCTCCTGCCAAATGGCCTCGACTCTGTCTGCATCATGCAGTTTCCCGAAGATCTTAATGCCATGAACAAGAATGACTTGGTTGAGTTCAGCATCGTTAACAGTGCGCAACTTTGTGTACATCTCTGCTGCTTCTGAGTAACGTCGGCAGCGGTATGCAGCCTGCATAGCAGCACCGTGGACTGGTATGGCGATTCCTGTATAGTCCTGGTAGAGTCGCCACACTTGAGTCCAACGGCCTTTTACGCCAGCAGCCTTGAGCTTGCCTGCCAGTGCACTCTCCTCTGGCGAAACAGCACGCCAAGATTTCGTGTCTGTTACCCTCGCACCGATTCCGAGGCCGCTGCGCTCCCTCATGACACTGGCTGTGGCCTGCTTGGGGGACTTCCGTGCTTTGCCAGGCGCACTGAACGGAAGTCCCCCCTCCCAGCTCGTCACCAAAGTGAACACTGCGATGAGAAGGGCGAGATGAGGCCCACGGCATTGTGGCCGACACTTTGGCATTGGCTTCTATCACCCTAAACCTGAAAGTTTCGTTCGTGAGTTGGGCTCGAGTTTGGGGTTTTGGGCCAACCAGGACACCCTGCAATTCCGGGGCCGATTTCGCACATCCTGCAAGCACAAGAACCCAAGAAACCCTTGAACGCTCAGAGGCTGCATTTCCCCTTCTGAGTGCGCAAGCCCAAGTCTGGTGAAGGGCCAGCCCAGGACCTGACTCAATGGGTGCTTTCGACTCGGCTGCTGCATTGGTCTTCGGTCTGCAGTTTAGGGTTTAAGGCTAAGGCTTGGGATTGAGGTTTTTTGGGGGTTTAGGGTGTACGGCTTACACTTCAGGATTGAGAGTCCTGCATGTCTATCAAGATGACGATGGTAGGCTCAGCTTTTGCCGCGACACCAGCCGCATCTCTATCACCACAACAGAAACAAGACTTGTTTGCATGGTCGCATCTCTTGCTTTCGCCATCCATCAGCATAAGCTTGCAGAGGACGAGCACCAATCAGAAGACTGGTTGTGATGATGATGATGATGGTCATGAAGTGATGATTGTCATGAACTGGCCACCTCTGGCGACTCATGCTGTGATCATTCCGAGGAGTATACTCCATGCTTGCATACTTGTTCTGGCGATCGCAAGTCTGGCGGTGGCTTTCACTTCGGAACTTATGACTGTGGGGACTGGTGCAGTCTGTTAGCGGGCTTCGTAAGCATTTTCGTTTCGGGCTGGGGCTGATTGAAAGTGGTGAACTGGTGGCTTGGGAGAAGTCTTACACCTGGGAGCTGCAACCTGGAAAACCCTGAATGCCCTCGGTGGCTAGGTCTAGCCAGCAGTCTTTGTTTCCACCGTTATAGCAGCTGCAAACAAAAAGCCATTGGCAAGCATAGACAATCATCAGGTCATTGCAACAATAGGTATCCTCTTCGTCCGTTGTCCTCACACCGAAACCAAGGCTTGAACCCCATGCTGCAATTCCGCGAGGACACATATCGGGTATAGCTCTCCCTAGTGATGTTAAGACGGAATAGCGCTTTGTCCGGCGCCTGCACAAGCTGAGGAGACCAGTATGAAGGACGAATTTCTGACACATGCAGCACAGGCCTTGGATGCCTTTCGGACTTCTTCCTCATCATCCTGCAGCAAGGCCCGATTCTCGGGAGAGAATGCATTCGAGCCTTTGGAGACGGGGACAGAGCGAGAGCGAGAGAGAGAGGGAGAGAGAAAAAGAAATAAAAGAGAGACCCAGCGAGGGAATGCGGGAGAAGTACCGATGGAGCAGAGACAACAACTAAAAAAAATCCCGACGACCTCTTCAGCCACAGAACTTAGTCTGCTGAGGGATTCGGATCTTGGTTTAACGGTTTAATGCTTTTGAAGCTATGGTATGTGCATATGAGGACTGAAACATGTCCCGTCACTGGATCTTTCGGGTTGGGGCTCGGGTTTAAGGCAAACTTAAGAGCTGTTCAGTTCAGGTTCCTGGGCCCATTCGGCAGCTGATGTGACCCACCAGCCTAGCAACAGACCGAAGGGTTTGGACATTGCAAACCCTTAAACCAGAAGAGCGAGCGCTCTTAGAAGCCGACGCAAATCCTCAACTATAAAGCCTTATGGCTTGCAAACCTAGCTCACTTCCTCTGAACCGAAACCCTGAAACCCTAAATTTCCTAAATGCCCGACACCCAGACCACAAACTCCCCAACCCCTAAACCCTCGAAACCCATGATCCTCCTTTTCACCCAGAAGGGAAACCCTCAAAGTAACACTGAACACACTTAAACTTTAGACTCTTTAGACACTAACCGCACTTCAACCCAAACCCGAAGAACAGAAACGCCCCTGAACAACACAACTCCTCTTTGGAACCCCCCAAGCCCACGACCTCCCTTCTGTCCTTGGGACTTCGGAGCTCGGGGTCGCTACACGCAGGGCCGCCGAGACGCCGGGCCAAACCTGAAGCGTCACCCGAACATGCAAGCGGAAAAAGCCGTACTGTGCCGAACAAAACATGACTGCAATTCCGGCTAAGGTAAAAAGTTGGTACTGCCCTTGACTCATCGAAGCTCCCGCAAAGGTTTCAACAACCACCACAAAAAAACTGCCGCGACCCTCCCAGCAGCACAATCATCTAACGCACAATGAAATCGATGAGATCAAGTTCACCGGACCAACTGACCCGAACAAATCCCATGTGGGCCTGTGGTAGCGCTCAGGAAAGCAACCAATGCCTGCCGCCACACCTTCAGCTGGTTTTGTGATTGCCCCTACATTAGAGGTTCATAATAGAGGATCCAGGATCCCTATGGTGGACGGAACATACCAGGAGCACACCTGATTGCTACGAACCTAGCCAACAGCAACTTGAAAAGACCTGAGCAGCTAGCCCGAGTCCTGCAACCCCAACAGCCCTTTAAGTGTCCAAGCATCCCGTAGCTTCGAGAACCCAGAGGCCCTAGAATCCTTGTTCACATAATTTGGCTCTCAGGCAACCCCTGGAAGCTGAGGATAGCCTTTACCTTCGGTTTTCTGCAAAACGAGCACCAAAAACAAGCAAGGGAATACAGCGTATCAGTCAGAGGGGAATCAAACGCCGCAACCCTCAAGCCATCAGGCCGTGGAGCATCCGAAACACCTCAAACCTCAATTCGAAATGCAACCGAAGCTGCATAAGAACCTTAAGCCGTAACCGAAGCTATGAACCCCACAACAACACAAACAACCCGAAACCCCAAAACACCCTAAAACAGAAACCTAAAGCCCCACCTCCCTTATGCCGACACCCAGGCCAAAAAAATACCATAAACATATTAAAACTATATCCCCCTGCCGAA